TTCTTTCATGCAAACATTTTGGAAGTATTCTCCTTTTTTCAGATATAACATTACTTGTTGTAGCGGATATATAGCTTTATACACTTTATCAAAAATTATTGTCATGAATTATGCGTATGTATATAGTTTGTTAATGTTAACTGAACTGGTGTTGGGTAACAGTAACGAAGCTGACAAAATGGTCATTCTAGCAAATTGTCTGACAAGTGATAACCAGACGTCAATTACTCTTGTAGCTATCTAAATATATACATGTACTTGATTATCATGTAATGGTACTCTTTTTATTTTGTTTCGGAAAAGAGGTACCTGTACGTGTAACGTTGCTACTTAGCTCCTTCTGATATGCTATTTATCGTATAGCATGTCTTTGTAAGGAACATAAGGTTCAAAAGCGATTGAAATATTACTATATATCATTTTCCAATATACCCTTCACCAGTTCTCACAATGATTGTATATTATGTATTTATATGTCTCATATTTATGTTCTATGCACTTATCTAGTGGGTTTCTTTTTTGTACTTTGAATAGAAATTGGAAGGATAAAAGCTTTGTATGTTTGGTAAGAGATTTAAAAAGATTGGTTTATTAAATCTATTTACTAATTAATTTATAATTATATCATTCTCGTTATGTACATACTTTTCTCATTATGTGTTTATTGAACCGCCGAACATGGCGATGGACATTGTAAAATGTTTTTGCCAATAAATATTTTGAATCTTGAATGAAAAAAAAAATCTTGTTGTGTGTAGATCATCGTTTAATTCCTGCATTTACTTTCTATTTATAAAACATACCTAGATAACATCCTCGACGCAAGAAGTGCATGCAAGTCTTCTTCTCCATATATAAATCTTCTATATCATGCCTTTTAAATAACAAAAATATGATTTTTGGCGACCGCAGCAAACATATTTTATATTGACTTTGATTCCATATGGTTCATTATCTGCAATAAGTAAATTTTTCATTTAATTGCAAAATGTAATTTTTTTAAGTCATGTTATTTAAACTATCTATATATTTCTTGCAGAATTAACCATAAATATCTACCTTGTGCCAGGGTCTTTCAGATAGAAAATATTTTAAAGACCCTGCCTGTGCATGCAAAGTCTAAAATCCTTTTTTAGTAAACCTTTTTAATTGTCTAGACAGTAATAATGTACACAGACCCCACCCCAACGAAAGAATCCTTTTCTCTTACAAGAAATCTGAACTACCTGATACCCTTCTCTAGGACACAATACCATCAAAATTCTTTCTTTCCTAGGAGCATACGTCTTTGGAATAGCCTTCCTCTAACTGTTCAGTCTTGCCCCAGGCAGTTTATACTGAGAGGCTTGACCCATTCTGTAAATTCTAAATTGCACGCTTTAAATTAATAGTCTTGTAGAACTTTTATTCTTTTAACGTTTTAAATTTGCATATAAATAATTTCTTATATTATCACTTTCCTGACAACGCGGCTGCTGGTCATAATCAGAATTGATTGTTAAGCAGTATGATATACTGTACATTGTAGATGTATTCGTATAACATGATAGCTCGATTAATATTTTCTTCTCAATAAAGTGCATCTAAAAGAAATCAAGTGTAAAAGCGAGACATGTACGATTTGTGTAAGTATAAATAAATAGTTTATCATTCTTTTATTTTACGCTGTCAGTCTTTTTTGTATCCAGAAAAAAGGAAACTTCACTGCTGGTTGATTCGTTTGAGACGCGAATGTTAAAATAATGGTATCGTTCAAGATATACACGATTTTCATTATCGTTTTTGTGTCTGTTGCATAACTTTAAATTTGTCGATTTCGGGACCATGCTACCACCTTGCTGTGCCCTTTCAAGCTCTCAAGTAACTTTGAATATTCTGACATAAAAATATATGGCAACAGTTTTAGTCAATTTATCTTGTACTTCAAGTTCAACAGTCAGCAAGTCCATGGACCGACGTAAACAACATGACCTTGCAGTACTGGACTTCAGCAAAGCGTTCAACCGCGTCCCACACAGCTGCCTGCTAGCCAAGCTTCATCATTATGGCATCAGACACCATACCCTGAAGTGGATTGAGGCATTTCTCACAGGCCGCACTCAGCGCGTAGTAGTTGATGGAGCAACGTCCGATCCAGCACCCGTTATCAGCAGAGTCCCCCAGGGAAGCGTGCTTGACCCATACTCTTCCTGGTCTTATCAACGACCTGCCACTTCATGTTACGTCCAAGGCCAGGCTCTTTGTGGACGACTGTGTGGTATACCGGGAAAACACCACTGAAGAGGACTGCCACATTTTACAGGATGACCTGAAGAAGCTGGCATTGTGGGAGAAACGCTGGGGCATGAGTTTCCACCCAGAGGAGTGCAGCATAATCAGGGTCCACAGAAAGAGGAACCCCATCATATACCCGTACTCCTTGAAGGGCCACACATTCGAGATAGACTTGACAACCAAGCACCTCAGAGTCCATATGTCTGGAAACCTCTCCTGGAACCAAAACGTTGACAAGATTGTGAAGAAGGGCAACAGCACACTAAGCCTTCCTTCGACGCAACCTGCGCATCAGCAATGAACAGGTCAAGAGCACAGCCTACATGTCACTCGTGCGACCAAGCCTTGAATATTGTTCCACCATGATCTGGAACCCTTATACCAAGGACCTAAAACGCAAGCTCAAGATGGTCCAGAGGAGAGCTCCAAGATATGTGACGAACCGTTACCACAATACCAGCAGCGTATCCTCCATGATTTAACACTTTGGGTGGGAGACTAATGAGTCACGACGGACCAAAGCCCAGCTGACCATGATATTCAAGATCACCAATGACCTTGTGGACATACCAGTCATTGATTACCTCACCCCTGCCCCGAGCCGCACTGGAAGTGACCACTCCAAAAAGTTCCATCTACCATCCACATCTACATCGTACTACAAGAACTCCTTCTTCCCTCGTACAGCCACAGCCTGGAACAGCCTACCTGCCCCCATTGCAGAGGCCCTGACTTGGTATCCTTCAAGCAGGGATTATCATCCCTCACATTCTAATCCGCCATTAGGGGCCCAGCTACAAGTACCCACTAGTGATATCCAAGGCTGTGCCGGCCGCGGCCACCGTAACCGGAGAAGTTTGGGTTGAAGAGGCGAAATGTAGCTGGCCAGACTTTTTGTCTATACCTTTTTCTTTTGACCTATCAAACCTCTTCTAACTTTCTATCATTTCATGTATATTTCTTTTTCTTGACCTAGCACAGCCCGTCGCGTTATAATCAAGTGTGATTGCACAGACATACGATGAAGATGTAGAATATATCAGACATTTCAGGCTTGTTATAGTTTATGTTGGTCTATATAATTATACCCCTGCAAGGGGGTATACTGGAATCAGCTTGTCCGTCTGGCAGTCCGTCAGTTTTTTATAACTTAAGATTCCTTTGACCCACAGTCTTCATATTTGGCATGGAGGTTAGTCACGACAAGTAGATGACCCCTATCGATTTTGAGGTCACTGGGTCAAAGGTCAAGGTCACAGGGGCCTTGACTTCAAAAAAAGCTTGTCCGCCCAATAACCTAAGATTCCTTTGACCCACAGTCTTCATATTTGACATGGAGGTTAGTCATGATTAGTAGATGACCCCTATTCATTTTGAGGTCACCAGGTCAAAGGTCAAGGTCACAGGGGCCTTGAATTCAAAAAGCTTGTCCGCCCAATAACTTAAGATTCCTTTGACCCACAGTCTTCATATTTGGCATGGAGGTTAGTCATGATTAGTAGATGACCCCTATTGATTTTGAGGTCACCAGGTCAAAGGTCAAGGTCACAGGGACCTTGACTTCAAAAAGCTTGTCCGCCCAATAACTTAAGATTCCTTTGACCCACAGTCTTCAAATTTGGCATGGAGGTTAGTCATGATGAGTAGATGACCTCTATTGATTTTGAGGTCAAAGGTCAAGGTCACAGGGGCCTTGACTTCAAAAAGCTTGTCTGCCCATTAACTTAAGATTCCTTGGACCCACAGTCTTCATATTTGGCATGGAGGTTAGTCATGATGAGTAGGTGACCCCTATTGATTTTAAGGTCACTGGGTCAAAGGTCAAGGTCACGTGGACTTTGACTTCAAAAAGCTTGTCCGCCCATTAACTTAATATTCCTTTGGAAATGGAGGTTGATCATGACTATAAGGTGACCCCAATTGATTTTGAGGTCACTGGGTCAAAGGTCGACTAAAAAAAGCTTTTCCCCTCAATTGCTTAAGAATGCCTGTTGGCAGTGTATTGATTTTGACATTTGAAGCATGTAGAAAACATAGCACTGGCTTAGTAACCTCAGATTTGGCAGGGACGTTGTCCTTGAGCTCTAAATGGCCACTGTTGATTCTGACAAAGTGGTATGCAGGGGTATTCACGCCATGACAGTGGCAGTTCTAGTTATGACTAATATTCTTTTCCTGCCTCCTGGTGCACATGCTTGGACAATTCTTTAACAAAGGACAATTTTCTCAGATGTAATACATGTGTACATAAACTTCAGTGGCTTTCTTGTTTTAAATTTTTGAGCCAATACAGTATATATATATTTTTTTGTTTCGTTTATTTTTGTTCTAACTTTGCATTTTAACATCTTTTTTATGGACTTCAAATATTAGGTGTCATGAAAATCTAAAAATAGAAAACATTTCTATTAGAACTGAAAGTTACCAGTTTATGTTTGTTTTAATGTTTCCTATATGTAATTCTTAAAAAATATATTAAGCAAGTGTGAAAGAAATACCTTCATTGCCTTTCAAGAAATTCTAATATTTATGTTATAAACCAGATAGGGCAATGTGACCAGCCTGGTTAAATGCCTGTAAAATAGATTAAACGACCCATGCCATATTAATTAGACTATTTGCCACCCACTACTATTAGTTTTGGCTTGCAGCTTCCATAACATAATGTTGCAATATCATTGTTTCATGGGTTAAAATTTATACTATCTGACTATCTGAGATGATATTTTTTTTATAAAATTAAACTTATTATATTTACAGAGGAATTGAGAATTGTCATGGCAACACCAAATCTTGCTCCTCATTTACACACAGAAGAATGTAATAAAATTATTGCTGAATACCATCAGTGCGTAACTGACGTAAGTAGTTTTATGATTATATATTATTATATATATGAGAATAAATTAATACAAGAGCATTCAAAATTTACAGGGTAACATGTGTTATTATTTTTCTTTTCCTTGTTAAAAAAGGACCTGTTCACAATGGCTAAATTTAGTTAAACTTCCTACATGTATTTTTATGTTCTCTAAATGGAGAAGATGTAATGGATGCCTTGTCTGTCCAGCCAAACATCCAATGGTTTATGAGCTTAACTCTGTTCAAAATGTTTGTTAAAGAAGGAAACTATATTACTGGGTGTTTACAGTAGCTCTTCTGTTGGGTTATAAGTCGCACCAACATTTTGAAGGTTATATGGAGACTTTCCAGCTTTACTCTTAGGGGAAGACTGCTGGTGCCCCTCCAAGCATTATTTCAGGCATGAACACCGAGTAGAACCACTAACATTAGGTTAGCAAGATGAATAGATTCAAAGTCTGGGGCGCGATTCGAACCCAGAGTGGTGAGGGCAAGTGGTTTCAAGTCAGCAACCTTAACCATTTGGCCACTGAAACGCCTTGTAACTATTCTTGTTGGTATTTAAATTGTAGACTGGCAATTTATCATTTTCTTTGGAGTCAAGATAAACTTACTTTTATGCTTGAATTCCTGGGACTCAAATTGATACTTTGGAGTCATACAAGCCAGCACATCCATGCAAAATTTATGATAGATAGTCCCTTTAAAAATACAGCAGGTTAACAGTTAAATGATAATTTTTAATATTTCAGGCTGGCTTTAGAAGATATTTCAACAAGTGTGGTCATTTTCAAAAACTTATAAGGGAGTGCACCAAAAAAGAGGTACGAATATTATAGATCTATATATTTTACTGCACTCAGTGTTGATAATTTTGAATATATATTTAAGAGGGATGTTTATCTTTTATTTTTATTTTATAGATTATGTGCATGATAATAGATTGTATTAAAAATGATTCAGATGTGACCTTGAATATGAAAAGAACATAATTGTTTAGTTTTTCAAAGGAATGTATTTAAATAAACACCTAATTTTAGATTTACAAACTAGAAGGGTGAATGCCTGAGTTTATTGATATAAGTTTAATTTTGTCCAAGTTGACAACATGTATGATTCTGCAAGAAGGGGCGGGGCCTGGTGTGCAAGAAAGGGCGGGGCCTGGTGTGCAAGAAGGGGCGGGGCCAATTCGGATGTCTAAGTCTCTTATGATAAGATTTTATTCAGAAATCATTCATTGCAAATAATTAAGCAAGTTCTTTTATCTTTAATTTAATGCAATTGAAAAGTAAATTGGCTGAAATGAAATATTAATTTATATGTTTTGTAATGGATGATCTGTATATTACTTGTATAACTATTTAAGATATTTATCCTTTTGTTTTCCAGAAATTACAAAAGTTTCATAACAGGAAATACCACATTGGACGTATTGGTGATTAAATTTACACAAGAATAAAGATGACAGCAATGGCAGGACAGCTCCCGCAGAAAAAATATTACCGCCAGAGGGCGCATTCGAATCCAATGTCCGACCATTGCTTTGATTATCCTGTCAGTCCAAAACAAATGAACTGGCATGAGTATTATCCCGATTATTTTAAACCACGGCACGAAGATGCGAGGCATGATGATGTACAGGATGTTATTTCTAAAGACGATTCTGCCAAAGTAGAGTTTGCCGATATTGGATGTGGGTACGGAGGGTTATTAGTTGATCTTTCGCCAATGTTTCCCGATAAACTGATGTTAGGTATGGAAATACGCGTGAAAGTGTCAGATTATGTTAAAGATAGAATTGAAGCCTTGAGAAAACAGAATCCTGGACAGTATCAAAACATCGCCTGCATACGTGCTAATGCTATGAAATATTTGCCAAACTTTTTTGAAAAAGGGCAACTTACGAAGATGTTTTTCCTCTTCCCCGATCCGCACTTCAAGAAGACGAAACACAAGTGGCGGATTATTAGTGAAACACTTTTAGCTGAATATGCATATGTTCTCCGTGAAGGCGGAATTGTGTATACTATTACTGATGTGAAAGAGTTGCACGAATGGATGGTGGATCATTTTGAAAAGTTTCCGTTGTTCTCGAGAATAGAGGAGAATCAACTGAAAGATGATCCGGTAGTGGAAAAGTTGTATGTTAGCACAGAAGAGGGTCAAAAGGTCACTCGTAACCATGGTGATAAATTTCTAGCTGTGTTTCGTAGGATTACTGATCCATTTAAAAGTTGAATATATGACATTTGAAAATGATTTGTCATTACATGTACAAATTGAGAAAAAAAATAATTTATGAAATTTTGATTTCATTGAGGGGGCAATTCATGTGTATAAAATAAATATAAATGATTGTGTAAAAATTTTTTGTATTTGGCTAAAAATGTTCCAATAATTAACAAGTTGAAATTAAATTTATTTTTTCTTCTAATGAAGTTGTTTTTCTAATTTTCCTTTGGTTCCAATACAGCCATGTTCAGCATTAACATATTGCACACATAATCCTGTTGGAGACTTCAAATACCCTATTCTCAAGAAAATATGTCCTTTTATGACAAAAAAAAAACTACATACATTTGAATGTACTTATATTGTATTTATTACAGCCTTAGTGGCGTCAAGGCCGACCGGTCAACATGTTAACTAGTTTTTCTAGTTAGGATCACTATAGGTATGGGTTCTAACCTTGTCAGGGGGCATGTCATTGCTTTCTTGAGCAAAAATTTTTTTACACCTATTGATCAGTAATGATTGGTTGGAGTGTTTCAGTTAGCTATATACCGTAAAATTCCTAATAAACACCCCTCCCCTAATAAAGGCCCCCCAGGCTTTTTGATAAGGAAAGCAATCTTCTTATCAGTGCTGGACTCGTAATTAAAGCCATCATTTTATTCAAATCATTCAGAATCCATTTGAATTTATAGTAAACACAAATATGTATAATATGAACTTTAAAACCTTAACACTTTTTAATGTTATTACCAACACTTGCTAACACTAAATGTATTTACAGTGATTTTTGGATTAAGGAAAAACTGTGTTGTAATAATAGCCCCCCTTTTGGAGAATGTTTAGCCCCCGGGGGCGTTAAATAGGAATTTTACGGTAAGCTTCCTACACAGTCTAAAATAAAATTCTCTATAAACCAAATGTACTTATCTGAAAGTGTGCTGTTTTGAAGGCAACTGTAAATTTCTGGCATTGAGCCTTGTGTTGTAGAGATCTTTTGATGGAATACGCATTTTAGACATTGTTTATTCATTGGGCTACATTTATAATAATATTGCATGTTGCTTTTTCATTTGATAATCATGAAATTGCAGCTCAGGTTATACTTCCAAATATCTGTTTATATAGGGCCATATAACCTGTCTAAAATCTTTAGAGCGTACAGACACTCCTGTACCTACCAGTGCTAAGAAATAAGGGTGTAAAGTTTCGAACTCGAGGAAACTAGTGCTTGTAAACTGGTGCTACAGAGTTGAAACACTGGTTGAGATCTGGTGTCAAAATGAAAAGGAAAACATTATTATAAACAAAATATATTTATTAAAGCCTTTAAAATGTTGATCTATATATATTATAGTACACAAAGTATTAGCATTCAGAAAATTATAACAAATTATAAAAAAAAATTGTTCAAAAATGGAGTCCCTAAACAATATCATACTTGTAGGTATGGCAAGAACTTATCTATATACATGGAATTGCCCTGGCTAAGGAATAATTGCAAGCTCGAAGCTTAACAGGCTAATTTGTAAAAATGTAAGCTACAACCATCCATTAATGAACCATTGGTACAAATTTGATAAACTTTTTGTTTTCTGCAAGTCCTAAGGGTGAGATGGAGAATATCCAAAAAGGCACCAAATAGGCAGTCAATTCTTAATAACAAGTCAGTTGCATTGTAATTAATACATGTATTGCATTTTCCGAGAATCCAGTTGTGGCCACAAGTTTTAATGACTACAAATGATGAACACTAAATTGGTAAAAAAACTGGTTTGTAATAATAAACACATGTGTTACAGTTTTCATAAAAGCTAATAATTAACACTGAATCCATTTTGTAACAAATTGTAAGCTGTATGAATCCAAACAAAAACAGTAAATTATAAAGTAATATGGTATATCAGTAATTGAATCTACAATATAGGCAGTGTTTAGTTGTCAAAATGCAAGTACATTCAGGTAACATTGTATAAGAGGCATTTCTGTTGCCTGTCAGAAAGAAATATAAAACAAACAACAAAATGTTGACGTTTTAACCTGTATCAAACACGTAACAAGGAAATTTACACTGTAATCAGGTTATAATGAAACCCCAGACATTTGGCAGGAATAATATAAACTTCCTGGGCAGAAACACTTGCCAATGTTTTAATCAGTAAACATAATACTTAATAGCCATGTGGCCTGTAACGAGTAAAACAAAATTAACCCAGCAATCTGGTGGAAATCAAAACCCGCGTTTTTTTGTTTTTTTAATAAATAGTTAAATTTTCTTTTTTCACAAATGGTTTCCAATATTTTAATCAGTGAAAATAAAAAGTAAATTAATACATGTTTTATCATTTCAACTCTTTAACATCACAATACATTTTATTATAGATATTTGAGAAGGCAAAACAAGGGAGTAAAATGGAACGGCTATCTACTTTATTCAAGTGGCATCAAACTGACGTCCCTGTGTATTAATACTTAACATTCTTGAACCGCATGACATTGTGATTACCATAGCTTTTGCCATCCATGCCCTATACTGTTGATGGTTCAATTTTTGTATTTTGATATTGAAATCACCTGACGGTCGGATGGACTTAACATCCAACTGTTAAAGTCAAAGCAAGGCAAATCCATTTTCACAAAATAAGCGTGTTAAGGTTTAACATACTACAAAATGACTTCTAGCCAGTCTTGTATGAAGAAATATCTATGTTTATATACTAGGGAGTAAATTATAACAGCCATGTTTTATTGCAAGTCCATACACCAGGGAGTAAATTTTACCAGCCATGTTTAATTAAAGGTTTAAGAATATCTTTAGTTTCATACATGTTTCAAATGCGACTAATGTCCATTGAGTAAAGTTTTATATATGTTTATATACATTTTATACAATCAGAAAATGACTTTCTATAAACAAAATAAGTAAAGAAAATAATCAAAAAGTAAAAATAAACGCAAAAAACACCAAAACCAAAAAAAAAACAACAAATTAAATGCCTAAATGCATGAACAGATCTGAAAATATCAAATTTGAACACAAAATCTAATAATAATTATATAACATAGTGACTAAATTAATATTTGCATAACCTAAAAATTACATTTGTATAATCAACAAAATACTTGACCTTTTAATGAACAGACCTGTCAACATCAAATCTGAACACAAAATCTAATAATTATATAACCAAAAATGAACAAAATACATTTGTACAAAATGAACAAAAAACTTGACCTTTAGATGAAAAAACCCCCAAACAAAACAAACAGCACCTTATATTGTAAACACCAAAAGTTGACTTAAAAAAAGTTACCCAATTATCTGTAAAAGACCCACCTGACATTTCACTAACATGTACAATCATAAAGCTAGAAGTGTAAGCAGAGACAGCTTGTTCAACTACATGTATCTTAAAGAAGCTCCACCGAGGTCCTAATTCATGAAAACATAAAATCTCAAATTCTTACATAGATTAACTGGTGCACTTTGAAATGTCAAACTGAACAAAAAAAAATGAAGATGTTTACTCAGAATTAAATTGAAATTCAAATTTATATACTATTCTTAGCCTGATTAGAGTGAAAAAGTGTTTATATGCTATTCATTTCTATGTCATTTTGTACATGAATCTGAATTTTGTAATATAAATCCATGTTTTGTACAAGAGAAATTATAATTCTTGAAAAACAAAGTGAGCAAATGATATGAAATTTTGCACACAAGCCATTAGTGCAGGCCTTCATCAAATAGTGCACAAGTCACAAAAAAATATTTCCGGTCCCTACTTGTAAAAAGACCTCGGTGGAGTTTGTTGAAAAGTAGAAATATTGAAAAGTAGTAGGAAGACATTTTTAAAATAAAGACTAACATTACAACGATGGATATCTGTTATCAATATCAGGAAAAACTTAAATGCCCAAATTGCAAATATTGCACATCACTTAAGATTATATTAATTTATCAACATGATTTTTATTGAAAAGATTCAGTGGAATAAGGTAACAAGAGTTATGCTCCCTGCTATAACAATGGTCATTTAACATCTGTCAACAGATAACGGGCCATTCTTTATTTGACCTACACAAAAGACAGGTCACTTATAATCCCTACACAGGTCAAAGGTCAGCAATCAACATCACCTGCATAAAGATAGGATTTACGTCCATGGATCCATTTCATGACAATTTAGAGAGACATATAATATACTGAGATTCTTGGCTTCTTCTTTCTCTTTTTGCTGTTTTTGCAAATTCTCCCATTCTTTAGGATTTTCCGAGACTTCCAGTGAGATTTTAACGTCTCTGCATTTTACAAGTAATATCTTAATAGGAATGAAATTGTAGGTCACAGGTCACCTTCTCATCAGTGGAATATAGGGTCAAAGTTCAACCATTCATCAGGTGTATACAGGCTGTTTTAGATGTTCAAATATTTGTTTTTGTATTCCAAATAATTTGCTCCTGATAGTCTGTTTGTCTTGGTCCCCATTTACAACCTGTTAAGAAAATAACAAAAATAAGTCCTTTGGTGAATATGTTGTCAATTTAAAAGAACTTACAATTTCAATTAAAGCACAGACATTAATCCATTAAAGCAACTGTCCCACACAGGTTGGTTTGACATTTTTGAGGTTATATGTTTTTTTCTCCATTAAATACCATGGCACAATGAAATACCATGGAAACTTTAATCCTTTCATAACTTTAACTCTTGTAACGTTTTACTTTATGTGTGGGCTAGCAGCTTTATGCTGAACTGAATACACAATACCATCTTTTTAGTTTTCACCATATACAGTCAAAACTGTCTTAAGCAGCCATCCAAGGGATGCAGTCATTTTGGCTGCATAAGACAGGTGGCTGCTGAATGGAGGATCCAGTTTACGGTATATCCAAATAAATTATTCATTTAAATTTCTTTGTTAAACAAATGTATGCAGCAAATTGACCTCAATTCCTTTCCCGTCTATAGCAGAGGAAAATTTAGCCTGGGCTTTTCTGCTCACAAATAGTTCTGATAATGAGCACTTTGCAAGACAAAAGTCAGGAACTGTCACTCCAGCAGACCCACATGTCAAGATTTTATAATTATCTTAGTTAATAACCTCCCCTGTGTATAAAGAATTTCAAAAAGGATTTCACTCACTACAGTGTTGGAGCAGTACCTCTAGACCCTTGCAGAAATCATGATCACAAAATAGAAAAATATGTTTTTTTTGCCAATTCTTACATATTTTATTCATTATTTATAGACAATCATCTTTCACCGATTCTTACATTTTTCATTCATGATCGTATATAAATCAATTTGAAGAAAAGAGTTATTTATCTTAAATTCATTTCAGTGGGTGAAAAAGGCGAGACTATAGTATTTAAGCATTTCAGCCCCTTGTCTGGTACCGGAATAAGGCATTTAGTTTGGTGCTCCAAAACACTTATTTAGTCTCATTCTTAAACTAAGAGACCATAACCCCACAAAAATCACATTACACGTCAAAGATTTAAACACTTACCAGCACAGGAGGTCTAATAAAAGACGTGTTTTCTTCTCCAATTAACCAAGCTTCGTGAAGATCGTGTAACTGTTTCAAATATTCCTATCATATGAAATATAAAGAGCTTTTAATAACACTGCACGTAAAAACATTAACTTGATAACATTTACCGTCATTGGACAATCATGATAATCATAATCTTACAGGCTGTCCAGCACCTTCTGACAAAAAATTAGGGCAAATTTTAGGGCAATTTTTAAAAAAATTTAGGGCTAAAATTAGGAATTTTAGGGTAAATAAAAAAAATTTCCAGGGCTAAAATTTGGAATTTTATAACTAAATTATAGCCTCAAAGACCATGATATGGGCTCAACTTTGCATATTTGACACAAAAGTAACTCACAAATAATGCTCTCGTTCAGTTATAGCAAAGGTGTTACCAGTGTTCCATAGTCACCAGTGAAGAAATGGATTCACTGGTTAACTGCCTTTAAAAAGAGCTGAAAAACTACATTAAAACATAACTAGAATGAAAACATTTTCAAAGTTATAAGTATCCCGGAACAACCAATATTCAATTAGTTAAGCTATGATTAGCCAATAATAAATGGAAGGGGAAATTATGCTTTAAATTTATTTTAGCTATAAATGCATTTATTATCAACATTTATTCATTTTAAGGTTGGTACATTTTCAACAAGTCTTGATCTTTTTAAAAAAAAACAATAAAAACAGTATGACCAACTCAAGTCATTCCCAGGAATATTAAAACTTAAATTCAAACAGCAGGATACATTGTATACACCTATGAAGAATTTGTTCAAGATAAATCAGGCTACTAAAAATTGTAGAAATTTCACAACAGTGTCAGTGTTTTCAATGATTTTCAACAGTTTTTTTCCATATTTAAAAAAAAACTTACACTATATGTTATAACATATGTTCAGTACATGTTAATGTGTACAAAAAGGGCAGCTGAATGTGTCACTTCTTAGTACCCTAATTGGGAAGCAAAATGGTTAAAGCATCCAATCATTACTGCCAGTTTACCTTACCCACTTAGCAATGGAATCTTGTCTAGATCTGCCAGCTGGTATCACTTACCAAAGATTTGTTCTACAGTCATCACTTGAACATATTAAGATTTTATTAATAAGGACCCCTACATAAAGTTTGATGAAATTTAGTGGTTCATCATGTAAATAGTTGCTTTAAATACACCTAAGACTGAGGTAAATGGTAAAACTCTGTAGCCAATAAAAATGTAACTTCCTTGAAAAATTTTTTATCACAATTTTAAACTGGTGACTATTTTGATATACTCAAAGTCGGACAATTTTCATTGTTCTATTTAAAACAAACAGTTTCTTATTATTTTTCTGATAACATCTGGTAATTAATCAAGTATGGCATTTCTGCAGGAGTTGAAGTAAATACAACATGTGACTTTATGCAATTTAGTCAGACATGACATCAGCTCCACTGACTGTGTTCGAATTTTAGTTGTGATTGAAACATGGTTGTTTCATGATATGTTTATCACAAAAGATAAAAAAAATAGAAATTTAAGTGAAAAAATAGGGCTTTTTTAGGAATTCCCTTTGAATTTTTCATTTTTTTAGGAATTTTAGCCAAACTGAAAAAAATTAGGATTTTTTAGGAATTTTAGGGACACTGGACAGCCTGAATCTTATTATCAGTACATGGCTGCTTGCCAATTTATGAGGTAACTTTCATTTTTCCTAATTTATTTTGCTGTATAACAAGTTTATTGTAAAGAATTGTTGGCAAAGATTAAGTAGAGGATATTGAATGAGTGTAAGTTCAATACTGAATTTATTGAACGAGATGAATAAAATTATATTATGCCAGCCTCTGGCGAGTATAATATTACTTAATTCAAACAAGTTCAATAAATTCATTAATAAAACTACACAAATATAATATTTTATTTATCACATACCAAAAAATAAAGACCGTTTGAAGTGAAAAAGACCCATTTTTTAATTGATGCGCCTGTAGTATTACGTTAACATCTAACACGTCTCATTGCTATGTTTATATAACAAAAAAAATGTCACATAAAATATATGCACGGCCGAGCAATACCATTTTTACAGACTCGTAAAAGCTGCAAGGTTGTGTGACAACAAGTTTTTTTTAAATGAAATAGAAACACATACCAATGAGACTATCTGTTCCTCGGGTCTATTTCGTGCTTTTATTCTCTCATAACACTTCTCTGGTGTTGTACGAAGATAGACTGAAACATCGACAAAAATTTTTTATACATGTATTTGTAAAATATTACATTAAAGGGATCCCACTGAGGTTTCTTGACATATGGTGACTGGAAATGATTTTTTCAAGCTTAATGTAGGACTGGACAAATAACTTGTGTGCAAAATTTCAGATAATTCGCTCACTTCATTTTTCCAGTACAATTATTGTAATTATGAAAAGCTTTGCAACACTTTTCACTCATACTAAGCTAAATATTTACTTCTGAGTTTATTTCTAAATGATTTCTTGCATATCATCTTATTTTAAGCGATCCAGCTGATCTATGTTAGAAATTTTTTAATATGTTATGTTTTTGGACCTCAGTGGAGTTCCTTTAAGTTTGCCACAAGTAAATTCCACCTATCATGCAGTCTGTCCATACTCTATACCGTTGTCTGACTAACATATCCCCAAAAATTGATATAAACAATTCCAAATAAATGAAAACTGGATAAGTACAAATGAAAAATTCAGCAGGTAAAACAGTTTAATCTTCGAGTCCATTAATGCTATGAGAATGCAGGGATTGAAAAATATTTTCAGAGCCACTCGACCTGAATAAAAAATTGGATGCTAAATTCTACGAGACGGCTACAATTTTTCTTCTCGGACCACTCTAAACTCTACTCTTAAAATACGAGCGGACAAATCTAAATTTTCTATCCCTGGATTGCCAGTAACATAACAATTAATATTCCACATACCTATTAAATCCACCTGAGGATTATGTTGTGTCATGACATAATCAAACCATTGGTTAAGCATGATGTATTCAATATCAGACAATAATCCACTGCAATAAAAACAAAGGATTTACATTTTTAGTGAAATTTCATCCGATTTTCTATAAATAAAAACAATGAATTCATAAATTTTATATTACACTAAAATGATTTAAATTTAAATGACACAAAGACATGTCTGCAGCCAGTGTTTTTCACTTTTCTCAGATCTTGATAGTTAAAACCGAAGCAAGATAGAAAAGGGGCATAACTTTGCATATTTAAGGATTATCTGCCCTTTTTTGAAATGGCCATTCTTTTATGACCATTAACATTTATACCAAGTGCATAGCTTTTACATTTCTTAGAAAATGGACCTAAACGAAACAGTTAACCAATGCTGACTCAACACCGACCACAGGTTCGTAACAATAGCTTCAAAAAGTGCTAAAAATAACAGTTCATCAAAGAGTCATTTAGATATTAACCCTTAGCCTGCTGAGGCCACAGATCCTACCTAAAAATAAACAAGAAAATGTTCTATAAGACAAAACCATAATTGTTTAGCCAATGAACTTAGGTAAATTTACAGTATACTGTAAGACCTGTGTAAAAATCACCTCCATGACATTTTGACAAAACCATAGTTGTTTAGCCGATGAACTTAGGTAAATTCACAGTATACTGTAAGACCTGTGTAAAAGATCGCCTCCATGACATTTTGACAAAACCATATTTGTTTAGCCAATGAACTTAGGTAAATTCACAGTATACTGTAAGACCTGTGTAAAAAATCGCCTCGTGACATTGATATCACAAAAAAAAAATGATTCCAGTGACCACCTGTCTACAAAGATCATATTAACCATCTCAAAGTGTGTCCTTCATAAACATGTATGACTGTATTGTAAACATCTTACCTTCGTTTTAGATTTTCGGAAAAACAATATCTTGCACTGAAAATGGATCTCTCTAGCATTCTTACTGGTTTAACCTGAAATAGATTCGCAAAAGTTCATAATGAATCCCTATCAATCATACCTAATGATAACTACTGGTAGTCATGGAAACAAGATGTATGTAAGCAACAGTTCTCTTTCCACAGTCATTAATAATTGCCACAGTCAGGTATGTCATTAATAATTTAAATATTTATTTCTACACAAAAGACTAAATTTTAATGATTACTGTCCAAAACTGATAAACTTTTAATCAATTTAAGTTTTCATGACTTATTTTTCACATGGGATGCAGTCTTTAACCAGCCATCGCTTTTAATGCAGCTTTAATGAAAAGGCTATTGGTAACATTAAGAAAATTTACCTAAAAATTCATCTTGATTTCAGAATTTGACTTACATGTAATTTCATAGATATAATATCTCCACATGTAAAAGCATTATATTAAAGATATGTATGTATAATCATTTACCTGTGGCTCTGTATGTCGTTGAAGTAACGTAATAACACAAGGGACTGGAATGAGAATGCCCAGCGTTTAGGGTCCTCATACAAGTTGCCTTAAAAAAAACATACAAAAAAATAAATATTATTTACATAAAATGTAATATTGTGTATCATAAATCATAAAAAAATTTGTGAGCAGTTTTAAAAGTTTTAGTTTAGTTTATACAAATTTACTTTAAGTTTGATTTGTGTTGGAAGCTATTAGCTTATTGAAACTCTAAAATCCGTTCCTGAAACCAACCAGTAAAATAAGCAATGAGTGTAATGTTTCTTGCCCAAGGAAACAACAGCTTGCCCCGAAGGGGTTTGGACCACACGGCCAAGCAATCTTCAGATTGCTAGTCTGACACGTTAACCACTCAGCCACCCCTAAAAGTTTTCATCTAAAACCGTTTTCTTTCAACACATTAGAAGATCACAGCGGAAGGGAAGAAGTCTCAGTGATTTGTAATGAGTTGATCTAGACTTTTTTATTATGATTTAACACACATGTTAAATCAGTCGCTTTTCACAGGAGCTTTCTTCAGAAGCTTGGCAAACTGATAGATTAAAGAACAAGACTACCCCTTTTAACCCTACCATTAGCTTTTTTGTGGAATATAATAAACTTGTAAAACATAAAGTACCAAAAAACAGTAAAGATGACTTACCAATGGATTCAGGCCACCAAAATCTCTCCATTGCTGGACTGGTTCACCATTTGTCTACAATATTAAAATTTTTAAATATCTTTCTGCAAATATTTCACAGAAATCACTTGTGTACATGTGTAAGGTTAAATCTTTAATTAAACTACACATTATTATAGTAAATAAAGTAAACGTATTTTATACTTCTATTCCCTCTTTAAAAAAATATTACAAAATAAAAATTGATCAAGTCACCATTCTAACTAAATAAGGCCATCCTTAAAAAGATGTTTGTTTGCAGTAACCCGACCCAGAATTTTCAAGGTGGGTAGGTAGGTCGATTTTTTTTTATTAAACTGTACTCCCAAATAAACATGGAATTTCAAAAATGCTGGAAAATATATGCTTTGATAAAATCTTGGTAAACAGTTAATTAAATTGATAACTGAATTCTAATTTAATAAGACCTACATTTTA